GCGCGCTAGCACGCGTACTGCGAGGTTTCGATCCGACAGCCTTAATGATACCTCCCTCGGACCACGTTTCCCATGATTGGAGCGTGGAGTGCGCGTACCTGAAAGTGGTACACGTTAACCATTCATATAGGGAATCGTTAACAAGATGACCAGAAAACGAAATTTAACGCGAAAGCTCCGCAGGACCACCTACCACTAGTCTTCGGCCGGCCCAGCGGGCGAACATGCCGGGCTCCGGCTCCGCGCACCTGCTGACACTATTTTGGGCCTTTATGGATACAAATTAAGCCCGAAATTGACAAAAAATAATGTAAATGCTCTGTTTTGTGTGCTGAAAAATATTTCGATTAGCGTTTTTTTATTTTTTAACCATCAAAATCGATCGGGTTAGGTTTAGGGGGTCATTTTGACCCTTTATGGGTTCAAATTAAGCTCGTAATTGACAAAAAAAAAACATTAATGCTCTGTTTTGTGTGTTTAAAAATATTTTGATTAGCGTGTCGTTATTTTTAAGCATCAAAACTGATCAAGTAAGGTTTTAGGGTCATTTGATTCTTTATAATAACAAAATTAGCTCAGAATCGACTAAAAAATAACATATATGTCCCGTTTTGTATGTCGATATCGTAATTTTTTTTGGAAAAAAAAATGTGAAATGAGTATTTACGTTTTTTTTTTTTTTGCCAATTTCGAGTTTAATTTGTACCCATAAAGGGTCAAAATGGCCCCAAAACTTTACCCAAACAATATTCGTCACGAAAATCGAAAAAAAGTATTATTTTTATTCATTAAAATAAATAATTATTGTGTATTAATTTTAAAAAGTAATGACATTTTGTGAAATAAGAATTGTATTAACAAAAAACTAACGCTCATATGCTATTAGTGGCACGATGTGTCATTGGATTGTTTGTCAATGACATTTGGAGAATTTTGAAAACTTTGATGGCATTTGGTGAATTTTGTAAGTACTTAGTGGCATTTGGTGAAATAACCGTTAATTATTTTATTGATGATCATGTTAGTGTGTTGCATATGTACTCATATCAAATTTTGCTAATTCGTACTTTTGTTTTTGTGTTTGGCTTTCCTTTGGTTGGCCTACTATAACCCATTTATATGGTGAGTAGAGGGTTGAAACAAAGGGGAAGTGAAAAGTACTTGAAGTATGAAGAGCATGATGGGAATGACTATCGAGAGCTACTTGTTATGCTTTTCTAGTTCTATGTTTTATATTTTGAATTATTGATTATGGATTAACTTTGTCATGTTTATTTTGAGTTGGATTTTTTAAAAAAGGGTCATGTTTGGATTAGTTCCAACTTGTGGATTATTTATTCCTAATTTGTTTTGAGATTGTGAACTCAAGTTTTATTTTGAAAGTTGTTTTATTTTAGACTTCCGCTATGTGACTTTGAAAAATAGCCTTAGCCGTGATCACGGCGATGGTAATATTTTGGATATTTCCTTAAAATAGTTTTATTTAGAGTAGAAAATGTTTTTTTAAAGAAAGGAATTTCCAGGATACTACAATTGGTATTAAAGCGCACATAAAATCTAATACCTGAACCCAATCATGATCCAATAACTTAACCCGAGAAAATGGAGACCCAAACATGAATATAAATTGTAATGTGCAAAGTGTGAATCAAACCAAACCCTAAACCTAAGAATGAGCCAAACCCAATTTAATAGTTACAAGTCTTACAACCTAATACAAATTTAATCTAACTAGCTATTGATATTATTTGAATTCAACTTAGCTTGTCATCAATAACTCGGCCTTTATTCTACTCGATTTAAATTCAATCTAGCCAACCTTGAACTTCAAAATCTTTTCTATTAAGAATAAATTTTTTATTCACCAGCCAATGCTGTATCAAATTGATGTTTTACATTTTTGTGTCAAACCCAAGGCTCATTATGACATGAATATACATCTCATAATTACTCCATAGTGATAAATTTTGTGAGTTTTAAATACAGTATAAAACATCTATTGTAAATAATTGCATGTCTTTCACTTTCCTAATGTACTATCTTTTCTTGTAATTGGTATACGAAATAGAAGACCCAAACACAGTAATGACTTGATCAATTGTAAACTCGACTTAACCTTGACCATACCCAATGAATCGTTTTGACAATGAACCAATCCAAAATTGACCTGAACCCGATAATGATCCACCCCACAATAACTTGCAGCAAATCAAATTGGTCTAAACTTGACTCGAATCGAACTTAAGCCCTAAACATGAATCGAACAAACCTTAATTTGACCCGAGTTACATCCAACCCAAACTTGATCGGATGTGAGACTTGACATGACTCAACCCATCCCAAACCAGATGTATATAGATTGTTCATTAACCTATTATAACCCAACCCAAGTTTGACTTGACTTGTAATAACCCAATCTAAACCTAACTTGAACGCCCGAGTTAACACTTGATAGCTCTAGGCAAAGTTATAAATGTTTGGAAAATTTGTAAATATTATGTCAACCTTTTACTCATCCGCTTTTATTATCACTACTACAAAATAGACAATAAAGAACGCCCGAAATAGGCAATATAGAACGCTTTAGAGGCGTCCTTCAAGTGAGGTGCCTTATAAAGTACACATGACGCCTATTTGAGGCATTTTATATCTAATACAATACTAAACACCTATCTTGGATAGGCGATTATTATTCTATGTACAAAACATATAAAAATCAAAGAAAAGAGAACTGTCAACTTTCGAAAGGCGTTCTATATTTGATAAAAAAAGGAGCGCCTATCTTTAGATAGGCGTTCTCTTTTCTAATATTTTTATTTAAATAATAATAATAATAATAATAATAATAATAATAATAATAATAATAATAATATCTACATTCTTTAAATAAAAGTCCACTATGATATGATACATTAAAATTAAACTACAAATTACATTATCTTTTTTTTGATAAAATTTGACAAAATTAGCTAACTGATACATTTAAGCTACAACACACATAGGATACCATCATCGTTTAATCAGAAACTCAATGAGCTACCTTGTGATCATCATCCTCCAATCAACATCCAGAGAAAAAAAATTATTAGCATAAATCAAGCAGCAAACCAAATATTTAAGATTCAATCACGAAGAACTACAAAATAAATGTCACCAAAATTATCAAACATTAATTTACAGAACATAAAACATGCTAACTTACAAGAACATAATCAAATTTCAATTTAAAAAAACATAATCGAACTTCTACTAAAATTTTAATTTGCTCCTTTACAAGAACAAAATCGAAATAAAAAAAAATAAATACAAATGCACAAAAATCAGTCGAAATTAACTAATACAGTAAATTCTAGCCCAAAAAATCCGATAGAAATATTACAACCCAGTTATCATAGAAACCCAGGAAAAAAACCAGTTAAACAAAGAAAACCCAGAAAAATATCTAGCAACCTCATCAATTATAACTGATATGTGATTGTCAACGATGATACGATAAAAATCCATCCTAAATCAACAAATTCAAATAAAATAAGCAACAATACATACATCTACAAACTGTAAAAGCCAATTCAACTTTGACAATAATCAATTCCAAATCCAAATTCTGCAATGAAAATCGATGCTCATCATATGGAACCAAATAAAAGAGAAAAAACTAGCCTATTTTCCGGATCCGACGATTTCAAGGCCAATAACATCGTCAGGGAAGAGTATGGTGGTGATGGGAGTAGCGGCGGAGAGGGGAGGAGGCGGTGTTGCCTCGCCATTGTTAAAGCCCTAAATCTGGGCTTTTTGTGTGGAGGAAGGAGATGGGTTTTTTTTTTTTTTGTCATTGAAGGAGGCCATTAAGGGGAAATAGAGTAAGATCCATGGGAGATTACTAGGTCAAATCGGATGAGAGAGAAAGAGGAATTCTTTAAGGAGAGGGAAGAAAAAAGGAGAGCAGTGAACGACGGTTAGAGGAAATAGGGTTTTGACAGTTTTTTTTTAAATACTCCATACCGTAGAACGGTTAACTAAGGAGAATGTTCTTTTTTTTTTTTTTTTTTTTAAGAAAAGCGGTTAGTGCATTAATTCATAGAAAGAGTGTCCATAAGTACATACAGAGATATCTCGTTAGGCTCGAGATGATCCCAACATTGATCACACCCTATGAGCACTAACCTAGCTAGATGATGGGTAACAAAATTCCCATCACGTCTAACATGAGACCAACAAATGGAAGAAAAAAAATGAACAAACCGAGACTATGTCTTCAAGTATGCCATCTACAGCAGAAAATGAGAAGGAGCTCTTCTTAAGCTTAGAAAGCAAAGATAAGGAGTCTGACATAGGATGATATCAGTAAGGTTGTGAGCTCTTGCCTTCTTGACTCAAGAAGAATGTTCTATATTGTAAATCTACAATTTAATTAAAAAAATAAAAAAATCAAACATATCAATTAACTTGGTGAGACGTTCTAATTGATTCAATATACACAACGTTTCTCTACCAAAGGCGTTCTATATAATTTAGGGAACGTTTTTCCAACTTGACAGTTATATATTGAGTGTTACTTTTTCTCATTTTTGTGGTAGTGTATGTCAACTTTTTGATTATTATTAAACACGTCAACCTTGTAATATCATTAACTTTTATCACGTTTTTTACTGGTAACCTGATAAACCCATAATAATTTCTAAATTTTGAAATTAAAAAAATATGTTACAAGCTTTTAATTATGCCAACTAATTAACTCTTTACTCCTACTCTTTTGCAAAGTCACAATCTCCCTCATATTATCCACACTTACTTTAATCTCCATTTTCAGCTCCATCAAACATACTCCATTATTATTCCTTCCTCTTCCTATCAAACCCACGACCCACCCTCATCGCCAAATCCAAAATATCCACCAAACTACAAATATCAATTCACAACTTGTTTGATTTTTTTTATAAAAAATCTTTAAAAAAAAATTGCAAGTTGATTAAATTGTGAAGATAAATATCCCCTCTTCACCCTTTAAACCCATTTCCAGCTGCTCCTAAAACCTTATCGTTCTCTCCTTCTCCCCATTTCTTAGCAGCAGCCTTATCTCTTTCTTGTTCAACTCTCAACAATGGCTTCCACCTCTTTCCTCGCTTCTTTAGCACCCAAAACGCTGGTTCTATCCAAATCCGCTACTCCTTCACTCCCTTTCTTCTCTCTCCTCTCTTCTTCTACTTCCAAAACGCTACCCAATTCTCTCTCTTTTCCCTCCTTGAAACGCTACCAATCCCTTTCTTCTCGCTTTGTTCAAAATGTTGCAATTTCTTCTGAGTTTGAACAAGAGGAAGATGTTATGTCTGATGATGGTGAACAACAGCCTAACTTCTCCCCTGACCTTAAGCTTTTTGTGGGTAATCTTCCTTTTAATGTTGACAGTGCTGAACTTGCTGGGTTGTTTGGTGCTGCTGGTACTGTTGAAATGGTTGAGGTAATTTCAAATTTCCTGTTTTATCTTATGGGTTTTTGTTGAATTAATTTTTATTGTAATTTAATGGGGTTCTTTTTATTGTTTAATTATGTGGGGTTTTAGGGTTGTTTTGCATGTAATTTTGGTTTAAATTTTTTATTTTGAAAATTTGTAGAAGTTGTCATTTGGGTAACATTACTAAGCAAAAATTGTTATGAACTTATGCAGGTTATATATGATAAAATGACTGGAAGGAGCAGAGGGTTTGGATTTGTGACCATGTCCTCAGTTGAAGAAGTTGAAGCAGCTGCTCAGCAATTCAATGGCTATGTAAAATTCTTAACTCGAATTATCTGATTATTTGTTCGAGAAATTTGTGTTTTATCTGTATGGTTGAAGCTAATTGTATAAGATAAGTGTTTGTTTACATTACTTATGTAGGGAAATAGGGTGGTCATGTACTCCCTCTGTCCGGAATTAATTGTCACATTGATGGTGTAATTTGAACTATTGATGTGACAACTAAATTTGGACGGAGGATGTATATTGTACAATTACAATTACACATTCTTTGTTTAATGAAACCATGTAAAAGAGTAGTCAGTAGTGAGGGCTGGACTACTGGGTTGTACAAGATATTACTCAGTAGAATGGCCTAGTCCACTTCACCCTAAAGAAAGTCAAATTAAGGTTTCACAGTTTTAGATAGATTCATAAAGATAAGATGTGTTTAGATAAGGTTTAATAAGGTTTGGTCTATCACTTGGATTCCCATTTGTGAACTTCTTTGTAAATATATTATCTTATCTTAACTACTTAAGTTTCCTTATTTCAACTGACTTAAATTAACCTGAACACTTGTATTATTGTACTAGTTGTGAATTGAACTTGAGTTCAAATCTTGTAAAGCATGTAGCTTTTATATTGATTTTGTTGTCTTTTTATGACAATGTAAAAATTTACAATTCACTGGTGGTGGTCTGGTGGAGTAAAGTAAATAAATTCAAAATGGCTAATTTAGTTTAGTAAATGCACTATGTATTGTGAAGTACATGGAAACAATAATTCTGTTGTTGCAAGGGTAAGTCTGTGCATATTCGACTCGGCCCTGCCATGTGCTGAAGTTTCTATTGAGGCATAGAGGTCATATTGTTTATGTACATGGTTTTAGCCTTCTATAATAGCATTGTTTTCCATTGTTACTGTCTGTGAAGTAAGGCAAAATTTATTTGGAATGGCCAATGATATTCCACATTCTTGCTTTTGTGGATTAAGTATCTTTGTCAAAGTTATCAATCTTGCCATGAGAACCACATACTCTTCTTACGAATCCAGTAGATATATGTATTTTAAACTTCATATAATGGAACTCTTTAATTAAATGATTGAAATGCTGTTATTGAAGGGAAGCTGATCATTTAATTAGCAAAATGAATTTTTTTGTTATGGTCTTTGTCTGCAATTTCTTTGCTGTACATAACAAGCACTTATTTCATGGAGGAAGGCTGATCATTTAAGTAGCAAAATGAATTTTTTTGTGATGCTTTTTGTCTGCTTTTTCTTTGCTGTACATAACAAGTACTTATAAATGTTTTTTTTTGGTTACAAGCACTTATAAATGTTACAATGATGGCAGGAACTTGATGGCAGGCCCTTAAGGGTGAATGCAGGACCTCCACCACCTAAAAGAGACGATTTTTCTCCTAGAGGTGCCAGAGGTGGTGGATCAAGCTTTGGAAGCTCCAACAGGGTTCATGTGGGCAATCTTTCATGGAAAGTTGATGATGCTGCCCTCAAGTCACTTTTTAGTGAGCAGGGAGAAGTAGTGGAAGCAAAGGTGATTTATGACAGGGATAGTGGTCGTTCCAGAGGTTTTGGATTTGTAACTTACAATTCTGCTGATGAGGTCAATAGTGCCATTGAATCCTTGGACGGTGTGGTAAGAACTTCATTACATAAACTTAAAATGTTTTACTTTGAAAGATCTCTTTTTTATCGATGACTTGGTGTGAACTTATTGGTTATACATTCTGTGAAAATTTGTAGCAAATTCATGGTCCTATGAAGGAGTGTTTTCCACCCTACGATCCTATATTTCCTTGTATTCAAGGACAAATGTTGCTTTCAGCAACCTCTCTCCCCCCCTATATGTTGTACATTACTTTTGTGTTTGATTGATAAATGATTTAGGTATTATACTATATGGATTTAACTGTCAAATAATTATTGGTGTTTGTTATATAAATGGAATGCAAATTATTAATATCAGAAAGTATTGGTCAAGTAACTCAAGTTTGTGATTCGAAAGTAGAGTAAGCATCATAAATCCTGTGTTCACATTGAGATTTGTGTGTTTATGTCGAGATCTTTGGCTAGCAATGTGATTCTTCTGCGTCGAATGTCATACCATTAATAATTTCTTCTATTGGTTTTTGAGTGTCATTCATTCATTCTTTTTTTTTTTAAAAAATATAAAGATTTTTTTTTGTTTTGTTTTGTTTTTCCCATTCAAGGTGTGTGTGTAAAGTTAGATGGTAAATTATGTTCATGCTATGACCTTTGCTCATATTGGTGGACTTCATATGAAACACTGATCCTTGATGTTGTTGATATGAGTTATAGCTCTTTTCCCCATCTTTGATGAATTCCATGGTTACATATCCTTTAACTTGTCATGCAGGATTTGAATGGAAGAGAAATACGTGTATCAGCCGCGGAAGCAAGGCAGAGGCGCTCATTTTAAATTGAAAATCTGTGATAAATTGATATCTTAGGCTTGTAGCCAGAGGAAGGCTGCTGCTGCAGGGAAACCCAACTAGTGCTGAACAATGTGCTGTTCTGTGCATCAGTTTGCTCAATTTTCTGGTTCAAATGCACAGAAACGGCTTAGATAATCATTACAATCTGCATGGAGAAATACTGAATATGTTCTGGAACCTATGTCCTTTTAGGTAATTGAATTGTGTGTGTTATGCTTTTTTGCAGTCTAGGTGATTAGTAGTTAAAACACTTTTATCAGCGGGCTGGTTTGAATGTAATATTTCTTTCCCTGGAACGATGCTCGACATTGATTAACAGTGTAGCCTCTTGTAAGAAACTGGTTGACCGGTAGTGATTCAGTAATACAGATGCTGTTTGTTTAGTTTATCATTTCTTCTTTTTTTTCCCCGGATCTCATGTTGGATATTCTGCAATTAAGTACTCCCTTCTTCCCTTACTTAGTGGTCTATAATCCATTTTTGGGTAGCCAAAATTAGTTGCCTATCTATGTATCTATAATATAATTAACTCATAGGGACCATATGTCCATATCATATCGCCATGTGTCACTATCCCTTTCATATGATTTGGCGCCAATTGAGCACTACATGACCACCATATGTGTCATTAGTCATCATCATAAAACTCTTCATATGTGTAAGCTTCGTACTCTCTCCGTCTCATAATGTAGGTATATTAAAAGTGGAAAAAACTAGACAAAAGTACTAGATAAGTGGATAATTTAAAGAGAAAAAAAGTTTAGTACAATTATAAATAAAAGTTAGAGACAGGGTGGAAAAAAGTGTAATGCAAGTGGATATGTTAAGGGTAAATTGGAAAGTGGGAAGTTCAATGAATAAAGTTTATAAAAAAGTGAGAGCATAATAGTTTTTACATACTATCCAAAAATAGAAACATGAACAATATTAGGAACAATATTTTGGGTCTCCAAAATACGAAAACAGTAAAATATTGTGAGACGGAGGAAGTATTAGATTTTTCATAGGATATAACCTTTAAGGAAAGAGAATGTTTTGCGTAAAACGGACTCATGTGAGTCTGGTTTATAATACACACATTCATTTTCCACTCACCACCACCCGCTTTCGCCGCCATTCTCAAATCCTTTGCCAGCTCCCCATCTCTTTCTTCCCTCCACTTCTCTCTCTCTCTCTCTCTCATGGCGGCGTCTTTGAGTCGTCTTCGTCTTCTTCTCTATCTATAACTTTGTTTCTACCACTCTAATGGCTACATTGTCCCTGCATCTCCAAACATTTAAGAGGGTTCTTTCATTACTTCAATATTAAAAGGTCTTACCGTCAAGAATTTCCCCACAAGAATAAGGGAAATTCGTGTCTTTGTTTCAACATCCTGTCCACCATCAAGGTTTTCCCCCAATTACAAGGTTTTCGTCCTCCGTCAATCTCAATTTCTCCCAATCCTCTAGCAAAGCTTCCGCCATAGTTGCAGTGACTGATTCAGGGGAGAAAATCCGATCAGAAAAGTAACGAAAAGGGGTGAGAAGAAATACAGATGGTGAGTTATAAAGTATTGCTAAAAACAATTTTGTCTAATATCTAATCAATATGGTCTAATATCTGATTAATATTGTTTAATATCTGATCAATGTAAACCAATATCTGCCTATAATAATCTAATTTTTTTGACACTTTTAATCTAATATTTGATAATTATAATATAATTTCTGACAATTAGAATATAATATCTGACCATTATTATCTAATTTCTAACACTTTTAATCTAATATCTGATATTTATAACTTAATATCTGACCGATTATCCTACAAAGCAAGCCATTGAATTGCCTTTGGGTGTCATTATTATTTTGTTTTTTACAATTAAGAATTTTATTTGTTTTCTGTTTGTATGATCGGACTCACGTGAGTCCGTTCTACACAATACTTTTCCTTAAAGTAAGTAATTGGACAGTCTAGAATATTATTTGTAAGACATTAATCATACACTAATGGTTATTGATTCATTGGATGCTTATTTTCCAGATTCAATGCAATATAATTATACATATAATTAGTGTGTGACTCGGGCGTTGCACCGGATAACTACTTTATATATATAATCACAATAGACCTTGTGATTATCAATTATATAAATTTATTTTCATGTTTGTAACATAGTTGATAGTTGGTTTAGATGGTTAAATAACATCTTTTTTTTTATAAGAGGTTGTAAAACGAATAAAAATTAACATTCATTAATCTTAAAATATTTTTATATTTTATTCATTTAGCACTAACCTTGTAAATTTTAATTTATTCAAAATTACAAATTTATAATGATCTGGAATATTAACGGGGCCAATATTTAGTTTTTATTTAAAGAGGGTACTTTTTAACAAAATTAGGTGTTGTTTGTTTGATAAGGGAATTTACTTCCCATGAGAATTTATATCTCATGGGAATTAAATACCTAAATCCAATTCCTAGGAATTGTCTAAACTTGTTTGGTTAGGATGAAAAAAGTTGCAAATCATGGGAATTTTAAGTTACCAAGGTGGGTTAGGTAATTAACTTCCCATGTTTTGTGGGAAGTCACAATTTCCATGAATTTGCAATTTTCCCCCATTTATACTTTTTATTGTCAACCAAATAATTCACCCATTTGCAAATTCCCATAATATTCCACTTCCCCCATTTTCTTTGTACAACAAAACAAGCCCTACACTATTTTTATGAATTGTCATCATTTTTCTTTTATTTTTATGTACTTTTTGAAATCATTTTCCTCTTTCTAATAATTACCAATTACCTTTTCTTTTTCTTTGTCACTCTTTAATCTCACATGTATATTTGTAGTTCCAATCATTAGCTTTTAAGTAATCTAAAACTTTCTTAGTTCTCGTAAAAAAAACTCAAATAAGCTACTAAGACCATCTCCACTGGTGAAACACAACTTGAAGTATTGAAATACAAAGTGAGTTGGTTTTTACCTCCAATGGTGGTACCCTACCCACTTCTTAATTTAACAACTCATGTGAAGTCTAATTTTCTAATGATGAGACTCTCTAAAGTATACTAATGTCACTTTCAATTTATGGTCCATCAAATTTATATTGTAAGTTTTTCAAAAAAAAAAAACTTAAATGAATTTTAATGTATATTATAATATTGATAAGGGGCCCAGACTTTTTGTAAAATGTGGCTCAAAGTAAAGTATCTGAACCAAACAACTTTATTTTGGAGTTATTAATTTTATATACCAACTTATTGGTATCCTTTGTGAAAAATAATCTTTCTCCTAAAAAATACCCTCAAGTCTCACCGTTGGAGATGGTCTAAGGGCCACTAAGGGCGTGTTCGGCATATTGAAGCTATATGGGTTGTTGTTAGTTGTATGTGTAATTGTAAGCTGTTGTCAATTAACGGTTAGCTGTGAAAATGAATAATCAACTATATGAGTGTTTGGTAAGCTAGCTTTTAACTAGCTATTGGCTATGAAATTCTAAAAATATAGAAAAAAAGTTCAAATAGCTACCTAGCTTTTGAGAAAAGCTAATAATATTAACTTTTCACAAAAGTTATTTCAATTACTAAACTCTACTCTCACCACTCCATTGCCAGCACTCGTATTTTTTTTTTTTACTAAATAACGATTTGAACAAATCAAACCACTAAAAGCTATCTAAAAAGAACACAAAAGCTAGTGTCTCGAATATACCTAAATAAGGGACAGAAAGACTATATTTTAACTCTTAATGATTTGACCCATACAAATCCAAGATAGTTATACCTGAGTTTAACATGTTACAAGCTAAGTGATCAAAAGTACAAGGGACCCATATCAGTAGCCAATCAAATTTAATGTGATTGTCTATGTAAGACACACATAATGGTCATCAATTATCAAATACGAGTAAAGACCAAATACAATCCCTGAACTCTTGTATTTGTGCACTTTTAGTTCCTCTAAACTGTTTTATGCACTTTTGGTCCCTCCTGCACTATGTTTGGTGTTTTCTAGCCAAAATTTGAGGGACTTTGTTGACTAAGCATAAGTTTAGGGATTTTAGTCAGTAAATAAGTTCAGGGACGTTGAGTAACCAAATCAGAAGAAAGTTAAGGGACGATGACAGGGCTAATAGTTTAGGGACTTTGGCCATTAATGTTTCAACAATTACACAGCAATTGAGCAATATTTTTTGTTGAATAAAAAAACTAGCCATTAACAAAAATAAGGGCTTATAAATGTTAGAATTTCATCACAAAAAAAGTTATTGAACATCCAAAAAAAAAAAATTTCTCCACAAAAGTGCTTCCATTACATCAAGAACTCAACTCCAGGTACTTGTAAACATAAAGTGTAATTTTTTTTAATTATTGATCACTGTTGTAGCTTTATTTACAGATTAATAATGTCTTAATAAGTTTAGTTTTGCAAGATGTCTTCCTACATCAGAGGTTCTAGTAGCAGTGGGGGTAGAAGGTGTCATTGTGGTTTACCACTGTCAAGAACAAGGTCATGGACAAGAGAGGACAAGAGATAACCCAGGTAGGAGATTTATGGCATGCCCAGACTATGATGCTGAGACCAATAGAAGGGACTGCAAGTTTTTTAAGTGGACAAATGAGGAAGATCAGACTGAGTGGCAAAGGGATGTCATCTTAGGGCTACTTGAAGACAAAAGAATGTTATCTAATGAAGTGAAAGAGCTACAGAAGAGGGTTAATGAGGCAAACACATATGCAAGAAAGATGACCTTAGACTGTGTTATGCTGAAAATGAAAAAACCTAGGCTTTCTTTATGTGTTAAGTGTGAAGTTTGGGTTGTTTTTGCAGTTGCTACTTGTTTACTTGCTTGGTATATTATTAGGAACATGGCTAACTAAATGTAATTGCATGACTTATGATGGAATGTAATTGTAATCTGCACTTTCTTTGTCCTAGCTAAGTCTTGCAATGTTTGTGATGATATTGTCTGTGAAGATTGAGATGCTTCTTCTGGTTGTGATTGTGAGAAGGAATATACAGTCTGTTCTCCTGCATTATCAGAGTAAAAAGCATCTCCTCTTGACTGTCTTGGCATTGGTTGAGTTTATGGATGAAATCATTGACCAAGTAAATTGGTTAGCACAGTAAGAGATCAAAATTAAGAAATCATTGAAAGGAAATACTAAAAACTTACAGTTACTTGTCTTTGAAAGCCATTTGGGTAGGTGTATAATTATGTTGTGCATTGGAACTGCTGGTGCAGGGTTAGTTGGGGCTGCAGTAGAGGTGTGTGGACTAGTGTAGCTTTCCCTTGGTGTATTCTTACATGTCAGCTTGTTGTGGCCAGGAACCCCACACAAGCTACATGTCATCTTCACTCTAGTCTTCTTGAGATTACCCTCTTTAGTAACCTTGCCAGCTGA